TGAACGTGATTCTAGGTATGGTCACCTGTGCAGTGCCTGGATCAGCCAGCTGGCCTTTTACTACAGGTGAATATGTCTGCTGCTGTCCCAGAAAGTAAAAAATAATCACAGAAGTGTTCATCAAAGGAGTTCTCTGCTGAAAAAAAAAGCTGTTCGCTTAATGAACTTTCAGTGTTTCTCCGTGGAGAGCGAGGCACTTGTTGAGGTGCCATCAATCTTTCTGAACAGCCGTGTAACACGTTTTGAAAAACCCCGTTTACCCTGTAATGATGTAATGTGTACCCATTAAAGTATATTTACTGAGTATCTGTTTGAAAAGCGCCGATCCCCCCCCCCCACACACACAAACACACACACCTGCCTCCCCCCTCACAGGAAGGTCAGGTGTTCCATGCAAACCACCCCCATCTGTCTCCCTGACACTTTTTTCCCACTAATGGGGGGGGGGGGTTGTTTAAAAAGCATCCATTGAAAATGTGATTTTCCCTTCAGAAACCCCACAGTGTCCTGAGTTTCACACCAAGGGGGACAGTCTCGTGTTCTGGGACCTCATTCATTCCGATCAAAACCAGAAAGTCCAGTTTGCCTTCTGTGTCAAAGTCCATTGATACTACTTTTTTTTTTTTTTTTTAAATAAGATAAACATTGTGAAATAAGTTACATTACAACGGGCAAAGTTATAAATTGCGAGCCACCAAGAAATAAACTTCTGAAATAAATTGTAGTTTTTGAAACAGTTTAAAAAATACTTTTTATGAGGTTGTAGTCCTCAGCATTCCAGTTGAAACAAATATTTTTGACTAAACTTTTTACTTATTCCCTATAGTTAATATAGTTCTTACTGCAGGAACGTTTTAAGAAAAGGCATGTATTGTGAAAAAGATTCGAAATAAACACGTATATCTTCTGTGGGTGCTGTGTCTGACTGTGTTAGGCTGAGAGATTCTGCTAAAGAGTTTTGCCTGTAATCTTGTGATTGGCTGTCTCCCAGCCCCTAGCGTGGCGATTCTATTGGATGTGGATTGATGTGGCACAGTTGGGGGGAGGGGCTTTCACGCACCATGCTGTGTATGCGGGCCCCCGCCAGTCTGAGTTGCCAAACGGTTCATTTTATTTATTAACTGGTGTGGGCAAATAGCAACCAAATGCAGCGAGCTACACACCAAGCAGGACACAATACACAGCCCTCCTATGTGACAAAAGGGGACTGGGGGGGGGGTGGTCTGTGTTTATGGCATTTTTTGGTTGCTAAGTCATGCACACCGCCAGAAGGTCTTGGCCACACAGCTGAGGGATACCTTATGTTCATGAGAAAGACAGTCATGTGTGTAGATCAGTGTTTGCCAATCCGGTCCTCAGAGAACCACAGCCGGTCCACGTTTTTGCTCCCTCCGAGCTCCCTGCCAGACAGTCCACATTTTTGCTCCCTGCCAGCTCCCGGTAAAACATGGACTGTCTGTGGGTCCCTGTGGACCGGACAGGGGAAACACTAGTGTACAGGATTCCCAGCAACTCCCAGCTGGGCCTCTGTCACCTTTCGAGATAGACCATCGAATCACCAGCCGTGCAAGTCTAGAGCACAGAGACAGTATTCAAACGTCCATATATGCCTCATTTATACATACCAGTAAATGGTTTGTAAAAACACATAAATCATTAAAAATTGCATGTAGGGACTAATATTATAGCTAAAATGTACTTTATATAATTTGTTCTGTTCTTTGAAATCCTTTTATTTGATTGAAGTCTCTTCTTATAATCTCTTACAGGGGAATAAGGAGATCGCAAATGGAACTTGAATGGGTTTAGTATTTAAAGTCAAACCCACAAATCAAACTCTGCCCTGCATTTACCTACTGTGTCGCCTGGCCTGTCTCCCATGCACAGCCCCCAGCGCAGCCTGCAGACAAAAGCCCCCCCCCTCCCTCTAGGGGGCAGTGTTGGTGCTCAGAAGACAGGGAGGTGGCAGAGGTGGGCAAAGCACTGGTCCATCCCAGCCAACAGTGCGCCCCCATCTGGCGTTTTTAATGTCCGACTCTCTTTTTCCACGTCCTGGTTGGCTGGTTTGTTCATTCCACAACGTCGATGCATGTTTTGGAAAACTGACCTTTGTTCTAGGAAGGTTAACCATTAGATCAGGCTCCCCCAGTGACAGGAGAAGCCACACTGCCAGTCATATGTGCCACTGGGAACTGGGTTAAACCAGTGTGTCACCAGCAGTGCACTTTGGTCCCACCCCAAGGCTCGTCACGGCTATCCGTACCTTCCGAGAATCCCCACCTATCATTAACCATGATTAGGTCGTTTGTTACAGTTAAACCTTCCTCCATTTGCATATAGGAATTACACCCTTTTTGCGCTCAGATGTAACCATGTTCTCCTCTATTCATTGTGTCTTGGTTTAATTCTGGTTTGCTTAATCACATATCTGTCCAGGCCATGCTGCTATTTCTCCCAGGCTGGTGAATTAAATGGATAATTAGCTTCAGGTGCAGCTTCATTGTCTAGACATCTTAAGTGTGGGTGAGTCTCTTTAAATACCGTTGAGTGACCTCGCACCAAATCCCAGCTTATTTTGGGTACTAATAATTGGGTTTTTTTTGTTTGTTTGTTTTCAACAGACCTACAGTTTCGTGTTATTAGAGAGTTGCTGTTGTTCATGCGACAGAGGACTATTAGATGTTCTGATATTTTCTGAAAGCTAAGATTTTTTTCAGGTCACATAAATTGGCAAGAATTAGCAAAAAATTATAATAATCCCACGTTCAGCTGCGTCAGCTTTCTTGTTAATCTGGGGGTTGATTTCCTGCTGACCTTTGCGAGGGGGCTTCCTGCCGGGTTCAGATACCACACCTCGTGCATAGACTTCATTCTGTCTCTGCAGAATTTTCACAGCCTGCTGCACAATGTGGTGTACAAAGTTCTACAAATTATGAGGAGAGGAGTGGCCTTTTCTAGCTAGGTGTGTCCAAATAATTGTTGGGCAAACAAAATGTGAAGCTGTACAGTCATCACTCATCCATCACTAATCGGACATCCACAAAGCATCGTTTCTTGATTTAGCTCGATGGTCTTTTTCTCCCCTGGTTGACTCCTTCCTGATTGTCATGTGATGAGGCAGCCATTCAGTCCTAAAGCAGGGATATTTACAGTGCTTTTGTAGATATACCCTCACAGATATACATGTTCACCCGCATGCTTAGGAGGTAAAGTTGGCTATAAACAGTGACTCACCTGGCTGCTGATCGTGGGGGGGTGGGGCTGAGGGGCCAAGCAGAGGGGGTCAGAGGAGTAACAGGGACAAGGGTGTTTGTTTGCTGTTGAGCAGGTTAGATTTTGGGATGGTCTGGTCCGGTTGCTTGGCGAATCAGGCCCCTGCTCTCGGACAGCTCACACATGATGGGTTTGCTTTTATTTTATTTTTTTTTTTTTTTTTTTTTTTTTTTTTTCTTTTTTTTTATTATATGGGTTTGCTATTAAAAGGCAGTAGAGAGAATGTGCGAAGGTCAAAAAGCAGTCAGCGTGGGCAGGAACCGCATGGCGAGTCCAAACTGATACCAGCCCCAAGTCCTGCAGACGCTCACTGTCTCCCTCCATAGGGCCTCCTGCTTCCATGACAGGGCATGTTTCCTACTAGCTGGCCTGGATCTCCGGAAGTCGCAGTTGCGTAGGAATGTGCTGAATCCGAGGGCGTCGCTTTCTCTGCTGCGAAGTGACCCGCAGACACTCTTTTCGGGAAGATGAATGGGGAATTTGAAAAATGTCTGCGATATTAAAGGCAGTTGTGCATTTCCAGTCTGCGAGGAGGTCGCCTTACCGGGTCTGAACTAGTTGATCGTATGACGCTGTTGAGTGGAATGTGAGCGTGAGATGGGGGGCGGGTGATCAGTTTGGACAGGAGCAGTGTTATTCAAGGTAATTCAGAGTAATTGTACTCTGTCCGGTGCCATGATAGTGAATTAGAGCAGATCAATTATCGCAGAAGCTGATCCAAGGTTTGGATGCCTGACCAACAGGTGCTGGTTCACACGTTGCAGGACATGCTGAGTCTGAAACCTAATAAAGAAGAGGAATGGCATCGCTGTACATGAAAGCATAAGGACGGCTGAGTAAGATGCCGTAAAAACGCACACCGTGGTCGAGGGGGCATGCATTTCAGCGGTCTCTTCACTGCATGGGCCAGCAATTCCTGGAATGATTTTAATGCGACCCTTTAGCTGCAAGAAAAATGTCTCGCAGCTTATCATGCAGGACAAGCGATAACCCCCTGGGAAACATGAAACATGTTTAACGTAACAAGGAATGTCTGTTCTGAGCATGTGTCATTATTGGCGTTTCTCTTTAATCACACTGGATGTTACATGTTGTATTACTTCATGTGACTATTGTGCATTCCCTGCAGGGCACTTCTGCAGATCAGTCTTTGTTTTGAGAGGAACCGTACTGTTTGGCTGCCCTGCAGCAGGCAAAGAACAGGGAAGCATGATCTAATCTTCTCATTATTCTGATGTATTTTATGTTTTATGGGGTTATACAGCCTCTATGCCCTTCCCAAACCTGCGCAGAGGTGTCGAGGCTGTCGTGGAGTCTCCCAGCTTGGGCTGCCCCTTTTATCTGATCATGTGATCATGCCAGTGGGTCGGTTGAGGTCACTTGAGTGCATGCTTTAGGGAGGTGCTTGCTGGTTGACCCTTACCCCCCCCCCGCGTGACCTTGTAATGAAACTGTGACCTGCTGGACGTAGTGCTACTGTAATAAATGAGGGCAGGAATGACCAGTGACCTCCGTAGGGAAGACGGGGGGGTGGGGGGGGGGGGTGGTCCAATCCAGTCCTTTTGTCCCTAATTTCAAATTTTCCCACTTTCTCGGTCAGCAGATCCCACAACCTTCAGGGACCCAGATCGCAGGAGCCCTGTGAGGAGAGACTCCCAGGATCCTCCACATCGCCACGCAAGGCGGCGTTCTGAAGCACTCCGAGGTGGAGGTGGGGGTAGGAGGGAGGGGAGCAGATGAGCGCCGCGGGGGCGACCCAAAGCGGCACCAGAGGAGCCATGCGGGAGGGCAACCAGAGGCCTCTGACGGGGCGCAGGCCGCTGATATGACCTTTGGCCACCAGAGAGCGCCACCCAAGCTGCCCATCCTATCCCAGTAGGACCGCATTCCTACACTGGCCCGGAAGGCCGGAAGAAACGGAATAAAGGGGTGAAAAAAGCAGATGTAAGAGGAGTCTGGGTAGAATTGCTGATTTTCCCAAGTGCTCCACACCTCCAGAAAAGCAATAGTTGTATCATTTAAAAAAAAAATAAATAAAAACTTTTTTGTTTTGATCTACTGTTCACCACCGTGCTCTGTTGGCCACGCCCCTTTCCCCATAAAGAGGAGCATCATGGGATGCCGGCAGAGCTCGGAGGAGAAGGAGGCGGCCCGGCGCTCCCGCCGCATCGACCGGCACCTACGCTCGGAGAGCCAGCGGCAGCGTCGCGAGATCAAGCTGCTCCTGCTGGGCACCAGCAACTCGGGCAAGAGCACCATCGTCAAGCAGATGAAGATCATCCACAGCGGGGGCTTCAACCTGGAGGCCTGCAAGGAGTACAAGCCGCTCATCCTCTACAACGCCATCGACTCGCTCACGCGCATCATCCGCGCCCTCAGCACGCTCAAGATCGACTTCCACAACCAGGACCGCGCCTATGATGCCGTGCAGCTCTTTGCCCTCACCGGGCCGGCGGAGAGCAAGGGCGAGATCACGCCCGAGCTGCTGGGGGTCATGAAGCGCCTTTGGGCCGACGCCGGTGTCCAGGAGTGCTTCTGTCGGTCCAATGAGTACCACCTGGAGGACAACACCGCCTACTACCTGAACGATCTGGACCGCATCGCCGCCCTCGACTACATCCCCACTGTGGAGGACATCCTGCGCTCACGCGACATGACCACGGGCATCGTGGAGAACAAATTCACCTTCAAGGAGCTCACCTTCAAGATGGTGGACGTGGGCGGCCAGCGGTCCGAGAGGAAGAAGTGGATCCACTGCTTCGAGGGCGTGACGGCCATTATCTTCTGCGTGGAGCTCAGCGGCTACGACCTCAAGTTGTACGAGGACAACCAGACGGTAAGAGGCGGGGCCTGGGTGGGGTCTGGGTGGGGTCTCGGTGGGGTACTAGGGTGGGGTGTAGGGTGGGGCTTGGGTAGTGCTACAGGCCCATCCCTTAAAGAGGAGTTCAACCTAAATGAGACACAATAAGATCCACCCAACTTCAATTGAGTCGTGAGTGAAGCTATTATTTCCAAGTAACATTTTTTTAACAGTGGAACATTACATTTTTATACCAGTGAAAATGAAATCATATATGTAATTTGCACATATTTTTTTCATGTAGGTGGCCACATTTACAGAATTAGCAGGCTACATTCATTAACGCTTTAGTGTTTGTGATTAATAAAACTGGCATATTTCAGGGTGATGCTGCTGGCAATAATGATAAATAATAATAATAAATTTGCCCACACAAGCACAAACATTTCCTGGAAACAGTGGAGGAATATTTTTTCTGAGAGCAAAAAAGTTTTATATTGCCTGATATAAAATTTTCTGTTCATGGTTGATAGCTGTTTTGTTTTTTTAAACGGGTAATAGATCCCCTGTATGAATGGTTTAAACACTCTACACTATTTGTCGCTGTATAAAATGTAAGACTCTTTGTGGGTGGGTTGGTGGACAGAACCACATGACTGGGAGGATGGAGGGAACGGGGACATTATTTGGGGATGGTAGCTGAGTTAAAAAATATGACACTCAAATGAATGGACTTGTCACATGACTTGTCACATGAATGATCACCTGACTGGTACACCCACCACGGTCCTTAGCTTGCTAGATTGACAGAAAGCTGTTAGAGGGTGTTTATGGACAGTGAGGCCCTGTTCACAGCAGAGCTATTAATGAGCACAGGCAGCCTTATAGAGGCAGAAATTGATACATTTTTTGAAGATCGCTGAGTCTCAGGTTCTCGCAGTTTGCTCTCTCAGTCTGATTGTACCCCTGAGGTCGTTCTGTCTACGACGGCGTTCTGGGAAAGGCTGCCAAAAAGCTCACGCACGATCTATTTTGTGATGGTACCATGCACCAGATGTATGTCAGGCGATTCCTTGGGTCTGCACTGAGAAATGTGCAAACGTGCAAGACGCTCTTGTGCCAGTGAAACAGCCACAGTGTTCAGCTTGGGAGGTTAACTTCATGAAGCAGGTCCAGGGTTCAGAATAAGTCAGCGATAGTCTCCAGCATTGGGCTGCACAGTGAAATGAAGTAAATCCATTTTGGGAGGTGGGGGGGGGGTCACCTAGATAATTTTGCAGAACCTGAAGGCCAGGGCTTGCAGGACTCTCACAGTTACGTGGAGCATTTTAATAAATTGGAGAGAATATTTAATCAGCGTTTCGGAAACAGGCCCCTGGTGGTCTTAGGGCTACGCGTCCCGCAGATGCTGTAATTGCTTTTCTCGCCCTTTCTGCGTGGGTAATAAGCTCTTCCGGGGGCAGCAGCCACCCAAATGCGGCCACGCCGAAGCCAAGGCGCAGCGGCCGCCAGCAGGGGGCTCGTGGGTGGAGGAGCAGCGCTGGCAGGGAGATGAAAGGGCTGCAGTAAATCTCTGCCATACAGCAAAGGGCTCAGCCCTGCCCCCCCCCAACCAGACAAAAATGTCAAAGTCATTTTATATTTACCACATGGGTGGAGATGAGAGCCCAACATTCCTAGAAGGGCCAGACAGTTGGTTGTGGGTTCAAATACCACCACTAGCACCACCCGGCCCACCAAGGAAGCACAACAATCCTCCATGGTGAGCAGCTATGGGCCTGTGTGTGTGTGTGTGTGTGTGTGTGTGTGTGTGTGTGTGAGACCAGAAAAGGAAAACGGTACCTTCCAGGATAACATACAGAGCAGCACCTTAGGGGCAGTTAACTTTGACAGCGCATTTTGTTTTAATCGTAGTCCTTAGTCCTTTGACAAAAATGCAATTTAATTTGTCATCTTTTAGTCATATGTTTTTATTTTCATTTTAGTCTAGTTTTAGTCTACAAAAATTACAGGATATTTAGTGATCTAAACCTACCTAAGTTTAGTTAATATACAGTACATACTGTCAATGAAAGTAACAGGTTTAATCATAGTCTCTTTGTAAATTTCATTTAATTATCTGTATTCACAGAGATATAGATTGATCTAGCTCTATCCACTTGAGATTCCTGAAGGAAACATATGTGGAGCTTTTGTTCTGGCATGGCATTATGTTTGAGCATACAATCTTTAGGGACACAAATTTAACTGTTGTAAAGCTTGTAATACAAAACATCACACTAGGCTAATTCAAATGTGGCTTTATTGAAACTTGTATCATACATGTATCATAAAATAAAATAAAACAAAATAAAATAAGGTAAAATATAAATAAAACCAATAATTACTCGCAAATAAAATACTGCATATGACACATCTGCATTCATATAAGGAAAAATACCAGTGCATAGAACTTGAATAATGAAAACTCAAGTGACCTCTACACAATGTAAACAAATACCAGACTAGTGAAAACCCACATTGATGTGTTTAATTCTGCATCTTGTTCAGTTCATGACAGTGACCTTTTCAAACACATCAAAAGAAAAAACAAGTATTTGTTTCCAATTCATTTCATTGTGCTTCAAGTTTGTGTCGCTTATCCCCTCCACTTCACAAGAGTCTTGTTTTCTTTTGCATCTATTGAGAAATTTATCCATACCTTTGTATGATTTTTACTACCTAAAGCTGATCGTGACACAGACCACTGTAATATTTTATACCATGTAGAGATTATATAGTCGCCAACAATAAAAGTCGTTTAAGCCAAGCACAGACATAACGAGATTACAGATAGACATTAGAGGCAGAACTGCACAGTTTACGTGCTTGAATCTGATTACATCAACATTTTCCAATCATCCTCAACGACCGGCAACACTAACTAAAGATCCTGCTTCTGATTCAAATTTGACTCTTTCTGACATTTTCGTCTTGTTTTTATTTGCTGATGAAAGTACATTTCGTCGTTTCTGGCATCATAAATACTTTTATCATCATCTGGTTTTCTTCAATCAAAAATCCTGGTTGACGAATCATTTTTGAATAATCACTAACACTGTTTAGGTCGAATCTCGGTTTTTTGGGGGGTAATGCGGCTGAAGGGGGTGGGCAGTCAGCATACTGGGCCCCTGCATCCGCTGACAGCCACTCGGTGTAATTGGAAAGCCAGATGCCATGGCTCCCTCCCAGTAACACCAGGACTCCGCCTCCAAGGACCGGCGAGGGGGGGCAGCAGGGTAATTCCGGAGGAAGGTCATGGGTATGATTTTTACAGCCTGAGGTTTCATCGCCCCGGATGTTGGGTAGGACCAGGGCAAGGGACCAGGGCGCGACTCAGCGTTATTCCGGCTCTCCTCCTGACGTGGGGAGTCTCGTCGCTAGGGTGCACATTGACACTGACTCTCCAGTAGGTGATGGGGGTCTCGAGCAACAGGAAGAAAGTGTCATTACTGTGAGCTGTCACACGGCAAGAGACAGACCCGGTCTCACACCGAAGTACACATCCTCATCCTATTTAAAAGACGTTCATTAAAAGTTGTCTTTTTTCCCCTCTTCACCCCATCAGTGTGTTCTCCCCCTATCCCTCTCTTCAATTTGAGCAGGTTTCCATGGAGGCCGTTGCCTAGCAACAGGCCAGTCACACACGCACCTGATCCTGTTGACAATGAACTGGGGAGGGAGAAGGGGGGAGGGGCAGGTCCCTCAGCAGACTGCAGCAGGGGGCTGTACTTACTCAACAGCCTCCCCATGTGGAAAAAGGGGTGTGGGAGCCAAGCAAATGAGATGAGTGTACCATCAATGGGGGACAGAAAAAAGGCAAAAGATTTTGGGGAGCCCCCCCCCCCCGTCCGTCACCCTGGGGCATAAAGGGGTGTCTGGGGACTGGATCTCATACCTAGTCCAGCACAATTATTGCCATCATTTTTATGGTGATATTGCTATCTAGAGCAAT